CTCATTTTGTGTAGCTGGTTTTGAACTATGGTCTGACTTTCGATTCTTCTTTTCTCCAGTCTGGATCATCGAAGAACTCTCTCCACTTTCTTTCAGGTCTCTCTGGTATTGGGTGTACCTGCGCTGAATTTTTCTCCTTTGTGATCTGGAAATAACGGGGACCATATCTGGTTCCCTCGTTCTTGGGTGTTTCAGCAATACCCAGTTGTTGGGAGTCACCAAAGGAGGCTTAACCATCCTACCTTGATTTCCAAAATTCCTTTGGAAAGGCGTTTCCCTGGGTTTGTTTTGCATCACAAACCAATCTAGGACTCCAGGTACCCACGAACTTATTGACCCAGACGTTGAACCACCTCTTTCTTCTTTCAAGGTCACCTTCGAAGCTGGCTGTGAAGACAATTGTTTGGTCCTGTCTCCAAGCTTTAAGCCTGATTCAGGTTCTTGGTGATGGTGATCATTTTCTGTCATTCGTGAAGCTGGCCCAAGGGGCCAATTCCTGGCTTTGATACCAAAACCTGACCTCTTCTCCAACCTTCTTTCAGAATGACTACTCTCCAACCTGTAATAGTTAGGAGATCTGGACTCATAGAAAGGCCTCTTACCTTTAGCATACATTCTATCAACTGCAGGTTCAACCACTAATGGCTGCTGTCTGACATTAGCCGAATACGGCCTTTTGTTATAAGCATTAGTTGGTTTGGGACGCCTCTGCACATCCCTGTAATACTGCTTCCCATCGACTGGAAGGCCCTTCAACCACTTATAACTCAGTCTGCACCTGGGACACATTCACTGTATCACGGCTGCTTCTAGGGAATCATCATCCAGTGCTTCTTCATCAGAGTCTTCCTTCTGACGTGGGAACTCTCGTCCCATGGCTGGTGGACTTCTAAGGTCTTTTTTGGTTGCTGTCTGATTGGCCACATGCATCTGTACATTGACTTCCTCCAATTCTTTCAGAGACAAGTTCTGAAAGTCTGAAAGTCTGACATAATGCAAATGGATTGCTATCGATCCCCATGGCTTTTTCAGCTTTGGCTGGGAACTTCAAACTCCCCTTCCGAATTTGTTCTTGGATCCTGTCTCGAAAAACAACACAGTTTTTAGTCGAGTGAGACCAAGAATTATGCCATTTGCAATATATTTTTCCTTTAAGTTCATCAAGAGATGGAATTTTAACACCTTTTGGTAACTTAAGGAAGTTGGCCGCAAGCAAATGATCAAAAATGTCATCTGCCTTAGTTAAGTCGAAAGAATATTTCCTGTGGAGATCTTTCTTTTTAAACTGCTGGTCAATTGTTGTATCTTTATGGATTAATGCTTCACAGATCATAGGCTTTTTTCCCACAATCTCTGTTGCATCAATCTCATAATTAGGATCTTTGTAGTATGTCCTATATGATGCATTATTTCGATCCATTTCCTCTTCTAGTAATGCTTCATATCTAGATACTTTATAAGTCAGTTCCACTAAATCTCTGAACTCTGTTGAATCAAACTTCTTTCGAAGCTTGAACTCTAGGCCATTTTGGGCCAATCTTACAAATTCAGTTTCTGGCAAGATTACTCTACATTTATTTCGAGCCCTCTTAAATCTGGAAATAAACTGAGTAGCCTTCTCTTCAGGCCTTTGACTCAATCTAGCCAAGTCTGCCATGGAAACTTCTGGCACTGATTGGAAGAACTGGGCATGAAATGCCTCTTCCATTTGCTGCCAAGTCTGAATGGATCTAGGTGGAAGATTAATGTACCATACAAACGCTCCCCCAGTTAAAGAATTCGGGAATAGTCTCAATTTCATATAATCATGATTGGTGAATTCACCACATTGAGCGGCAAACCTAGCAATATGTTCTACGGTGGATTGGTTTCCGTTCCCATGAAAGAGGACAAAATCTGGTATCCTGAAACCTCTTGGATATTCATGTACCCTATCGACCCATTCTGGGTATGGTTTTCAATACACAGGGGTCTGGCCCCCCCGAGCCATTGGTCCACACAACTCCCTAACTATCTCAGTGATCTGGTCCCTAGGGACCATATTTTTTGCCTGCTGAACCACCATGGGTCGGACAAACACAGGATTGCGTGGACACACTTGTCTTGTATGCCTCTTGGTCCATAAGTAGTACATTTTGGGGATTTGGGGGGCTGTCCCTGTGGTAGAGGGCTCGTTGGGGATGTAGTAACCTCTGACCTGTCCTGCCGAAAGGACCACGAAAGGTGTGGAAACAGGTATGTTATCCTTCCACTTGTAGGAAAACCTTCAACCCCGAGTATAAATTCGATACAGGGATATTGAACCTTCCTGGTTACCAGGTATGCTTCGAATGCTGGATTTGACTCATTCTTATGCCATTTTCCTTGTACTGGGCCAGATCCACCAATCTGCCATGGCTTCACTGTGAAACATTGAGGCCATTCTGGCCTGCTACAGGCCTCGAAAATGGGTTTCTACCCCAAGACTGAGGTGGTAATCTTTCATGGTTCTGATACTAGTTTGACCATTAGAATGTCCATTAGCTTGCATAGGCTGTTTGTCTCTAGCCAATCTTTGCTGAGGGACATTTACCTCCTCTATGTGTCTTACATTCGTTGGTTGGTGGTTGTTCATTCGATCCAAAAAGGATACTGCCCACCTTTCCATTGTGTTTATTAATTGCTGTCCCATGGCATCTACCAAGCCGCCCCACGGATTGACTGGCTGAGTAGATGGGACACTGGATGGTCCAATTCCTTGGTCTCGTCCACTATTACGAACAAATGGTATTTGCTCTGAGGTATTGGTCTGTTCGACCATGGGTTCTGATAGGATAGGAGTTTCCACAGGATGTGTTATCACATTATCCTCTGGATTGGATGTCTCCACCTCTCCTTCCACGCCTTCTTCCAAACGTTCATTTTCTCCTTGTCTCCTACGTCTAGCCATTTTGTTTTTAAAGGTCCCACGGGGCGTGCCAAAAATATATGTTGGTTTTTTTGGCTTTCGAAGGTTACTTTCGTAATTATGAGCGTGCCAGCAAGGATCAATCAGTCCTTACAGAATTGCCAAACAATTATTCAGACGATTGTTTTATGGTTCTTTCGGCCTCAATAAAGAGGACTTTTACTGGTGGCTTACTGGTAATTTAACTTCAGAAAATAAGAACAGTTAACTAAACTGGAGTATTTCATTAGTATAAAAGAACTTACAATGATCTCAGTTCCGTAGAGAATTACAGTGGCAATATACTTGACAACTACTCCTACAAATGAAGTACAGCGCGAAAACTAAAAATACAGGAATATAAAGGACAGGAAATAACACTCGAATATTTAAAGTGATTTGTTAGATTTTCTTCGTCCCTATCTCTGAAGTCCTTCCTGCTATTTATACTTTCCGAAGATAACCGTCGAATTGTACTTCAAACCGTCGAACTGTTCCTCCGTAGTCGCTGATCATGCTACCTTATAAGTAGTCCCACTACGCCTTCACTTGCAGTTAGGCTTCCCTCTTATATTTGAATTTGAAATGTGAGCAACCGTTGAAGCCACGTCACTGTACGTCTCTTTATTGATCTGCTACTACTCTGTATTACAATCACAGGATGTTTTGCTACAGGATGTTTATCAATAATTATTCTCTTCTTTTTTTTTGTTTTGTTTTGTTTTGTTGTGGCTGAGTTTTAATTAATTAAAAAAATGAAGCTATTAGGGGTTGATATTCCAACTGAAAAATTCCAAAATTTATACATCCAGGATGATTGAGAATGTTTATTAATGTTTACAGATTTTTACAAAAAAAAAAAAAAAAAAAAAAACCGGGGATTTTCCGGGGCCGGGGATCCCCGATCCCCGATCGGGGGCGGGGATGGGGTCGGGCTATGGGTCCCCGTCGGGGATCGGGGACGGGGACGGGGGTGGTATTATTTTCGGGGATCGGGGACGGGGGGGGTAGTCCCCGGCCCGGCCCGGCCCCGCCCCGTTGCCATTCCTACACATACACGCGACGGGCAGCGAGAGGGAGATAAAAAAATAAAAAAATAAAATAAAAATAAATAGACCAATCAGAATTTACTGAGATGGTGGGTTCCCCCGTGGGAGTCTCACTCTTTAGGAAAATGGTTAAAAATTATAGAGACTTATTTATAAGTCTTATTTCGGACACTTATACTATACTAAGTCCTGTGTAATTTCTTATAGAGTCTCAAGTCTATCTAGATAAGAATGTATTCCACAAGATCGTATTTGCGAAACGTAACGTGACACGTTACGTTACGTTTATGTAGGTGCCACGTCGCGTTACGTTACGTTTATGTAGGTATCACGTCACGTTACGTTTATGTCATATCCCATCTGATATGGTCATGTTACGTTACATTTATGTAGGTGTCACGTTACGTTTCGCAAACTTAATCTATGGTAATATTCAATTTCTTATATAATTGAATGTTACCATAGATCATATTTATGTGAATGTGAATTTCAAAATATACAAACAAGTAACATTTTTACATTCAATTTAAAAAATCAAAAACCTAGTAAGTTTGCGAAACGGAACGTGACACATTACATTATGTTTATGTAGGTATCACGTTACGGTGTCACGTTACATTTATGTAATGTCTCATCTAATATGGTCACGTTACGTTACGTTTATGTAGGTGTCATGTTACGTTTTGCAAACTTAATTTATAGTTACATTCAATTTCCTATATATGATTTTACCATTATTTATGATATTAACAACGAGGGTAAATGTGTCAACAAACTTCATACAAGACTTGTGAGAACATAAGTTTTTTCATGTGTAGTATTAAGTTTCCCTAATAGGACTTCTAAATAATTTTTTCTAAAAATTATTTTTAAATTATTATTATTATTATTATTTTTATGAAAGAGATAATTCCAAATAGGCCATATAGTACAGGACTCCTCATCAAAACCCTAAAAACGCAACCTTTCTTTCTCCCTCTCTCGTTGCAGATTCTGGCCAAAACAACTACTCTCTCTCTCTCTCTCTCTCTCTCTCTCTCTCGCTCTCGCTCTCTCTTTCTGTGTGTGTGTAAAAAAGCACAGAAAAATGGCGGAGGCGGCTTCAATGGAGGAAATTAGGGCGACAGCCTCTCGACTGGGCATCGACCTCTCTGAAGTTGATTTGGACACCATTCGCCTCCCTCCTGGTGAGGACTTGGGCATCAAAAGGTGAACAATCCAAACCACAAAACCCTAAACCCCATATATATATATATATATATATATTCTACGTAAATCGTAATAATTTTGATTTTGATTTCCATTATCCATGTTGTTGTGTTTTTAGTGATGATGAAGATCTGAATGAGGACGACCCACTGGAATTCGATGGCGGGTTCGGAAACATAATAGTTGTGGATAACCTACCTGTTGTTCCGAAAGAGAAGTTCGAGAAGCTGGAAGGTGTTATTCGCAAAATCTACAGTCAGATTGGAGTCATCAAAGAAGATGGCCTTTGGATGCCCATCGATCCTTCCTCCCACAAAACCCTCGGCTATTGCTTCATTGAGTATAACACTCCTCAGGTATATCCCAGTATTCACTATATCAACTACTCCCAATAGACAAACTCATAAATTTGAGACCCACAAAATAGTCTTGAAACATGAATATTATGCAATATGTATCATACATAAATTGTTATTATCAAATGCAGCCTTGTAAAAGGTGTAGAGAGTGAATTCCCTGGAAAAAAAAATTGTCTTTTCTAAGCAACTTTGCATCATACATAACTTGCTCATATTTTTTCCTAGTCTAGTTTTGCCTAACAAACTGGAAAAATATTTGGCATTAAGCTAAATTTAACTGTGTTCAATGCATTTTAAATTGAACTTCTCTCTCTATGTGTGTGTGCGCGCCCGTGCGCAAAGAATCTATATTAAAATTTGGAATCCCCTTGGTAAAATGAGCTATATTACGGTTGGTGATTAATTTGCCTTTGTGGTGATTCCTGCACTTAATTCATGCATACTTTCTACAGCGTGCTATTTCTGTTCAAGTATGTGATTTTTCTTAGTCAGTTTGGAGTTATTTTCTTGGTACTCTGATACTTGACGAAATGCTTGCATATGGACTTTAATTTTCTTTGGTAGGAAGCTGAACTTGCGAGGGAGAAGACACATAACTACAAGTTGGACAGGTTTCATATATTTGCTGTAAACATGTTTGATGACATTGAAAAGTTCTTGAAAGTTCCAGATGAATGGGCTCCACCTGAAACCAAGCCATATACTCCAGGAGTAAGCATTTTAATGGGCTTTATTTATATTTTTTATCCTTCTGTGTCTTTCTTCTTTTTGTTATTGGCCTCCCGTTTGGACATTAGATTCACTTTAAAGGTATAATATGAATGAATTACCTATAGGATAGTAAGTTTATGGGCATGTATCTAGCTTTATAAATCCTAGCTGTAAGATAAGTCAGTAGCTGTAGAGTGGCCATGTATATCTGGAAAGATGGTTTCAAATCAGATCTTAGGCGTTGCAATCTCCTAGATACTGTATTTTTCAGAGTTTGTTCTCTGTGGTTCAAGTGATACATGAAATATTCTTAACTCTACATGAACCCCAAATTCCTGTATCGCATATTGAAGATATCAATTTCTCTTAATGTTATGATTTCTTATTTGAATGTTTAACCTGATCGAGTTTATGACCATTTATTTTTTAAATTGAACGACTGAAGGAGTGCCGCCTATCTTTCTTAAGTCTATTGTTGCTTCCTTTTAATCAATTGCACAACAGTAGAAATTGTGGTAAATTACTTTATACTAATGAATTGCGATGTTACTTGTAGATCTGTTCTGTTTTATTAAAGAAATAAGTAATTAAAATTGGTACATGTTGTATGATATGTTTTTTTCCCAAGTATATTAAAGAACAATCCCTTGACATAGCGGACTGGAAAAGAAGGATTCATGTAGTGATCTCCATTCCATTGGGACACATGGCTTAGTTTGGTTGGGTTTGGTTTTGGGTTTGTATTAAAGAACAACGTCAAAAGGAGCACCCATTGCATCCCAATCCCAAACATAGATAAATTCATAAAGCCAAGAAGCACTCTCTCTACTAGAAGGTGTCACCACCATCCACTAACCTTTCACTTTTACTATCTACTAGAGTTCACTACCACCACCACTCGCCACCCCCTTGTTTTCTTAATTGACAATGATAAATCAATCTTTGTGTTGGAAATAGTGCATATGTCCATTTCTAGAATCCATCGTTGCTCTCATTCTGGTTAGTATTGTGGTTGACAAAGGAGGGACTACCTGAAAATAGTATAGTTGTTTGGTGATTTGGCATATTGCTTTCTGCCACGAGTTGAATGATTGAGAGGTGAAGTTGGAAAGCCACCTTGGGTTGCTTTTTGTGTTGCCAAACGTGGCAAAAGATGCTTTGTTATGGTAGAGATCGACAAACATTTCTTCTCTATGAAGAGGCATTTGGATGTCTAAGGCTCTATCTAATCTAAGGTGGTTGTGGTGGTTAATGTTTTCGTTTTTTGATTTTTGTCAGCAACTCATGGCAAGATACTTGCCATTGAAAATGAAAGCATCAAATTCATGTAAATTGGTGTTGTATGTGTAAAAAAGATCGAAAATTTGTCAGTCACCTCATTCATTGTGAGGTGGCTGACTAGATTTGTGATCTTTGGTTCTAGAGATGTTTGTTACAATGTGTTCCTCAAGAATTTGTTGGAGTTGTTACATACTTAGAGGGGAGAGAGTATGGGCAAGAGAAGGGAAATGGAATGGCTTTTGGTGCCTTTATCCTTGATGTCAATCATTTGGGGAGAGCCAAATAAAACTACCTTTTTTGTCTTGGAAGGCCCTATCTTTTGATTGAAGAGAAGTTTCTCTCTTTTCTATAGTTGGTTCTGAGGTAGTTTTGATCTGTTTGGATTTTGTAGAGGTTTTGAGGGATTGATGTATAGGTTATTTGGTTTGTTTTGTAACCCCTATATAGTGTACACGAGCGGTAGTCACTCGGTGCCTTTTGTTTAATATGAATATTTCACTCATCAAAAAAATATCAATGTTTGAAACCTGCTGCAAGCCTGGAGAGAAAGGTAAAAGATGGAAGAGATGGAAGTGGTGAGCCAGCAATAATGGTGTTTGTTGTTGGAGTGAAGTCATGATTGTGGGTGATTTTGTAATGTTAGGGTCAGAAGAAGAAAAAAAAAATGAGTGAGGGTTAAGAATAAATTACAAAAGAAAAATAAATTAGTGAAAGTGAGAGGGTGGTGTGGTGTCAGGCAACAGTGGTGGGCTTTGGTGAGCATCAGAGGGCTGAGGAAGGAAACAAATTTTTTTTTTGATTTCTTATAACTGGGTTTGGTTGAGATATGTATGTATGTATGTATGTATTACGGCTTTAGTTGAGACTGGTAAATAGTATGGTGCCTATAACGTGCGGTGGTAATTGGGGGATAGGGGTGGGGGTGGGAGGAAGACAGTAACTAGAAAGAAGGGGACAAGAATGAGAAAAAATGTTTGAGGCACAGGTGTCTTTTTAATGCTCTAAATTGTGGGGTATAAGCTACGAACACCATGGGCACCCATTAGCTTGTGGGGGGAGGCTCAAGCATGACCTTAAGGGGTTTAGTGTCACGTTTTAAAGGTCAGTGAGACTTAATCATGAGGGCAAAGGTATAATTTTTCCTGTCCAATAATATGCTCTTTATCTCACCCAACACTAATATGAAATTTAAAATTTTAATTAAATATGTTTTCTTGATTAGAACAACCCAAGTAATCTAACCAAAAGGCCCCTAATTATTCCTTTGAAAGGTTTTTCAAATTTTCTATTTCAAGTATGAGCAAAATCTTGTCCACTTGTTAGAATATGGTGAGTCTATAGTCATCTGAGATTGTAGGGGCTTGGACTGTATTTTAATCTTTTTTGCTAATTTTTTTTCAACTGAACTATGACACTCTGTTAGGAACTTCTGTTTTGTAGTATCCTATATTATTTTCACTAGATAACCTTTCCATGGCAGTTGGTTGTTTGGTTGTTCAGGCATCCCTTTTTTCTCACATGTGTTTGCTTATGTTTTTGCCCTTTCATGTGTGTATTGGTGTGCAAAATGTTTTTCATGATCTCTTTTTCAAATGCATCCCTCATATCCTTGTATTTCTTTACAGGAAAATCTGCAGAAATGGCTTACTGATGAGAAGGCTAGAGATCAGTTTGTTATTCGATCTGGCTCAGACACTGAAGTATTGTGGAATGATGCGAGACATTTGAAGCCCGAGCCTGTTTACAAACGTTCAGTGAGTTGACACCATCATTATTATTATAAACATCATTAAATCTTAACTATCCACTGAGTAACTTTCCGCGCCTGTGTCGTTCATCAAAAGCATGTCCTATTATGACCGTCAAAAACAATATCGCCCATCCTAAATGAGAAGAGAGAATAGCTTTGTTGCTTACAATGTGTAAATAAATAAAAAATATATATTTTTTATTGTAAAAACAGAGTGATATCATACATCTTTTCTTGGCAGTTTTGGACAGAAAGTTTTGTGCAGTGGTCCCCTCTGGGGACATACTTGGCCACAGTTCATAGGCAGGGTGCTGCTGTTTGGGGTGGTGCCACTACCTTCAACAGGCTTATGCGTTATGCTCATCCGCAGGTTTTTTCACTTCTGCTTTTAGTAATGTTTAAGAGTTTGCCTTTTTTTTATTTAAAAAAAAAAATTGTTATGTTTTGGATTGATATGTAGGCTTTAGTGGTATTAACTGCAGGTTAAATTGATTGATTTCTCTCCTGGTGAGAACTTTTTGGTGACATACAGCAGCCATGAACCAAGCAATCCTCGTGATACTCATGTGAGATTTCCTACTCTACCACTACTTATTTTAATTTATGTTTTTACAATTAAATATTTTCACTTGAGGCAACTCTAATGTGAGTTAATTTTTCAGAGGGTGGTGTTAAATATTTTTGATGTGAGAACTGGAAAAGTGATGAGGGATTTCAAGGGAAGTGCAGATGAGTTTGCAGTTGGTGGAACTGGAGGTGTTACTGGGGTGTCTTGGCCAGTTTTCAGGTGATCGTTAAGTACTATGGATATATTTGAATGTGCTTTGTGGATGTTATTATTCACTTGTCTTATGGATGAATATCACTATTGTTTCCAGATGGGGTGGTGGAAAAGATGACAAGTATTTTGCCCGAATTGGTAAAAATGTGATCTCAGTCTATGAAACAGAGACCTTTACACTTATTGACAAGAAATCCATAAAGGTTGAAAATGTGATGGACTTTAGTTGGTCACCTACTGATCCCATTCTTGCACTATTTGTTCCTGAACTTGGTGGAGGGAACCAACCTGCAAGGGTGAGTCCAGATGTTTTAAATTTTTTTTAATAATATTTTTGAAAAGTGAAAGTATAATTACTTTGCATACTTTTCACAGGTGAGTCTTATTCAAATCCCAAGCAAAGAAGAGTTGAGGCAGAAGAATCTTTTCAGTGTTAGTGATTGCAAAATGTATTGGCAAAGCAATGGGGATTACCTTGCTGTTAAGGTTGACCGCTATACAAAAACTAAGAAGAGCACATACACTGGATTTGAGCTTTTCCGGATTAAAGAACGTGACATACCAATTGAGGTTTTGGAGCTTGAGAATAAGAATGACAAGATTATTGCATTTGCTTGGGAACCAAAGGGCCATAGGTTTGCAGTTATCCATGGTGATAGCCCTAGGCCCGACATAAGTTTCTACTCGATGCGGAGCACTTCTAACACCGGTCGTGTTTCAAAGCTCACAACTCTAAAGGGAAAGCAAGCTAATGCTCTTTACTGGTCGCCAGCTGGCCGTTTCATCATACTTGCGGGGTTGCAGGGCTTCAATGGACAGTTGGAGTTCTTCAATGTTGACGAGCTTGAAACCATGGCGACTGCTGAGCATTTCATGGCAACAGATATTGAATGGGATCCTACTGGAAGGTATTTTTTGGACAACATTGGGTAACATTAAGACATGGTTTAGGGTTGGTTTTTGTAGTGGTTTTTTTGCTTTTTTGACTTTTTTTTTAAGATAACAAATAGGCTTTTTGGTTCAAAAGCTGCCTTTTTTAGAACGTCCCAAACAGCCCCTAAATTAGAGGTGATCAAGCCACTTTCCAATTTTGTTTTGCCGGTCAAACCAATTGCCTTTTGATTTAAAATAACCGTGCTACTGAAATTTACAATTTCCCACCTATCATATCTGCTTTGGTGATAAATAAAATGTTCTTCTGAATTTCAATTTGAGAAGATAGAATCCTTTGCTTTATTTGCTGAGATAAATTTGTCTTTTTAATTTTGATTAAGTTATCCACTTGTGTCTGCAGGTATGTTGCAACTTCAGTTACTTCAGTTCATGAGATGGAAAATGGTTTCAATATCTGGTCTTTTCATGGAAAGCTACTGTATCGGATATTAAAGGATCACTTCTTCCAAGTAAGATTTAACACACTAATTTTCTATTTTTAAGTTTTATTATAAATTGTGTTTTATGTATTGGTCAATAAAGTAGTGGCCCCGTTTGGTGTAGCTGTTAAAACAGCTTATAGATTATAGCTTAACAGATTATAGATTATGACTTTAATCAGAAGTTGTTAATCTGTTTGGTGTAGCTGTTGGATTATAGATTTAAGTTGCTAAGTAGTGTTTGTTAAATAAACTGTGAAATAGCTTTTTCAATTAATTTTTATTTTTTGTTTGTCTACATTTCTCAAAAAAAATAATAATAATAATCTATAGTCCATTTGGGTCTTTTTCTATTTTTAAAAAAATAAAAACTAAAAAAATTTAAGAGTATAACCATAAATTAACATGTCCACAGCAGAAACTGATTATCAGAAGCAAAGGGTGAGCAGCTTCTTAGAATCAGCTTTTTTGAGTTAAAATAAGCTGTTAGAATCAGAAACTGTTTGAAATAAGTTTAATCAAACAGTCCAAAATAACTTTTTCACAGCTAAAAGCCATAAGTTAGCTCTGAAAAGCTGAAACAAACACCCCCAATATATGATTTCCTTGGATTTACTAAGGATATGGTTTTACAAAGAGTTGACTTTATAGGATTGATCCCCGTAGCCAACCCCAAGGCTTATGATGTTTTTGGTTGATTTAGAAAATACAATAGTTCAATGATTCTAAGAAACTAATCTATGCTGTCAGACAGAATCTGTCTAATATATATTAGTGGAATACTATGATGCACGGACACGTAAATACGCAAATTTTCAAAAAATTGGGGACACGACACGTTGGGGACACGTTTAATATATATAATTTTATTTATTTATTTTATAACTAAAATTTTAAAAAATATTAATTCTTATAAAATTACAACAATAATAAAATTAATAAATATATTACCTAATTTTTTTTAATAAAAATTGATTTTTTTTAAATAAAAATAATTTATTTTATAAATTTGAATAAAAAGATGGATATAAATAATAAAACAAAAGAAAATAAAAAAAAAAGAATAAAAAGAAAAGGGTGGAGTGGAGAGAAATGAAATTAGATGAAGGGAAGTGAAGAAAGAGAAGGAGACAGAAGGAGAGACGAAAGAAGATAGAAGATAGAAGACGAAGACAGAGGAAGACGATGCGAAGACGAAGACGAAGGCAGAAGAACAAAGAAGCAGAAGAGAAAAGAAGAACAGGTTAGGGCTTGTTCTCTCTGTCCTCGATCTGTCTCTCTCTTCCCTCGATCTGGCTCTGGCTCTCTTTCTCCTCTCTAATAGTTCTAGGGCTTCTTCGATCCACCTGCGTGTCTGAATCGTGTCCTCGCGTGTCCAACCTCGTGTCCAACTTTGAAAAATTTTGAAAAAATAGGGGACACGTAGGGGAGAGTGTCGGACACGTGTCCACAGCGTGTCCGACGCGTGTCCGTATCCGACACTCATACGCAAGCCTCAGGGACGTGTCCGTGCTTCATAGGTGGAATACAACGTTGGTCCAAATGGTCTACCACTTGACAATATTGAGATGTTACTGTACGTATAATGACTGCCAAGAAATAGATGCATGGAATTGAATTGCAATTAGATGACGAAAACACTCATTGTGCATTCTTCCATCTCTAGTTAGTTATATTTAGCCTCTTTTGTCTGAGATATCTTCTATTATGAGCAGTGGCAGAGGTATAGAGGGTCTAGGGGGGTCACATGCCCCCCTTGGGTTTTGGATTTTTTATTTTATTTTATTTTTTTTGTGGCAAACATAAAGAAAATATTGTAAATAAAAAAAATTATAAAAATATTATTTAGAGTGAAATGTCAATCACATTTTTAAAATTATGAGAACAATAATGGTTGTTTTGATTGAAAATAAAAAGATTATGATAAGTCATATTATTATTTATAAAAATTTTAATATAATGGAGATGTCTATCATTATTGACATACATATATAATTAATCTCAATGAAGATATGAGATTTATTAGATTGTTAGTTACATTTGACATGTGAGATTCATCCTTTATGTGTTTCTTTATTATTGGTTAGTGATATCACATGGGTTTGGGAGTACCAAGAAAGCCAAATCACTGTGGTTAGGCATTGTTCTTGCTATTTTTTGGGTTATATGGTTGGAGAGAAATGCTCGGATTTTTGACGACAAAGTAGCAAGTGTAGAGGCTTTGTGGGATAGGATTGAATATTTGGCTTCTTTTGGGCTTTTGTATCTCCTTCTTTTAAAGGAGTTCCTTTGTTTTTGATTTCTAGGGATTGGGCTGCTGTTTGTCATTCTTAGTGTTTGGAGTCTTGTGATTGGTTTTGCTTTTTCTTCTTCTTTGTTCCCTTCTTGTATGAGGACTTCTTGTTCTCTCTCCTTTCCGTTTTTATAAAATTTTGTTGTTTCTCAAAAAAAAAAAAAATCACATGTCAATGATGGTGTGATATTACTATTATATTGAATTTTTATTAAATTTTTGTATAAAAAATTACTTTATCATTATATAATTTATTTTAAAACTTATATCCATGATTTTTTTTATATTGTCTATGATACACTAGTTACAAATAACATTATTTTTTTTTTTATCTTTCTTGAAGTCAATCGTAAAAATTTATGTGAAATATTTTTGTATAAATTTTTAATGTTATAATTGATAAGTGTCCCATCTGATTTAATTTATTGACTCCGTCACTGATTATGAGGTCTTATTCTCTTGTGTGAAACTTAAGAAGCACGAACGCTTATAAGAAGGTAGTGTGTCCGTGTCCGTGTTTTGGACACTTTCTGACGTGTCTAAGACACTCCTACAAAATGTGTCCGACTATCTTAGAGCTGAATGCACTTCAGACACTTAAGAGAGACATGTCCGTCCCATACAAGTAATTATAAGGTTTAATAAAATAACCTAAGATACAATGATAAAAGAAAAACAATGTAGATATATAAGAGCTAATGTTATGTTGCCTGTATTATCTTTGAATACTAAATTCATATATATAAGTTATAACATAAATAAATATACACAAATTTATATTTTGTGTCCCCCGCATGTCGTGTAGTGTATTTTCTAAAAAATGTTGTGTTGCTGCTTCTTAGTTTGAAACTCATATGATCTATAATATATCCTAATGTCAGTATTGAAAATTATAAATCAATCGTGCATCTTTGTTTGATAGCTTCATAGAATGTGAATAGAGCTAGCAGAATTATGATTACCTTTGTAATGAAAACGAAACACGCGCCAAATGTTGATCTTACTATCACAGCAGTCAAATATAACATGATCTGACTAAGCTAAGGTTTTCTTGTTGATTATGACAGTTTTTGTGGCGCCCAAGGCCACCACCCTTCTTGAGCCCCGAGAAAGAGGAAGAGATTGCCAAGAACCTGAAGAAGTATAGTAAGAAGTATGAAGCAGAGGACCAAGATGTGTCATTACTATTGAGTGAGCAGGATCGGGAGAAGCGAAAGATGTTGAAAGAGGAATGGGAGAGATGGATCAACGAGTGGAAGCGATTGCACGAAGAAGAGGACTTGGAGAGGCAGAAGCTAAGGGACGGAGAAGCCAGCGATGAGGAAGAGGAGTACGAGGCAAAGGAAGTTGAGGTCGAAGAGTTGTTGGATGTTTCAGAAGAGGTTCTATCATTTGACTTTGGACAAGAGTGAGTCTAATGTAGCTGATATTTTTGAAGTTATTTCGGATTAGGTCCTGCGATCCATTTTATTTATGATCTCTATTTGGTTGGTTCTGTATGGAGCTTAAAATGTTTTTGTTTTCTCATTCTTACCTTATTTTGTTGTTTAGAATGTTTGTTCACTTGAGGAAGTTTTGTTTACTTGCCTAGATTACAATACTTATGGTGGTTATTATCTAGTGGGTCTAAATTATTTATTGTAACAACTCTAGCTTTTTTTAATTCACCAAGTGATGTAATTGAAGTGATTTGGGATGAGCTGGGAAGCTGATAAGTTAGCCTTTAATGATATCACCAAAAGGGTTAATTGCACCTGGACTCCCTGGCTTATTAGCGAATATGACCATATCTCTCTCATCTGAATTAGTACATGTTGACACCCTCAATTGTCAAAATTTATCAATTTCATCCCTCCACATCTCCTCTAGAATGGAGGCATCTGTGTACAATTTTTATTGTTGAATGGGTTAATGTGTATGAGTTCATAGATAAGGAGATGAAATGATATTCATTAACAGTCGAGAGTATTAGTCGAGAGGGTGTTGGTGTAATTAACCAGCCCTAAAAAGTTCTGATGGATTTGTTTGTTTTGCCTATGGTATGCCACCCACCTTGTTTTTTCAGAGTGAAGTGTCTCATTTATTTTTTTAGGTTTTTGTTTCGTAGTAGAAAATCTCAGCCTCTCCAAATCCACTCCATGATTAGCCAAAATCTGGTGGCTTGGAATTGTTGGATGCAACAATTGAATTTTGAAAAAATTCACATTTGTCTTGTCTAAGTTAATATCATTTTGTTCCTGAGTTATTAGTTTAAACAATTACCTCTAACCGTAGACATTAGTTCATTTTATCACAAATTATTAACGGAATTGATATATTTTATGAATTCCAAACTGGTCCAAAAAAAAGTGTTTGGAATTTTAACCCTCTTTCAAAGAACGTGTTCCCTTAAAACCAAGCTATGTGGAAGATAGTTTGGAAGGTTATCCTTGTCACCAAATTTATAGATTTTTTAATCTAATAGCATTGATGGATCTTCTATAATTTCAACAAGTGCTTGGTTGACATCAGTAGCTTCTTTTTTTAACATATTCCGTGAGGATGGAGTCTCGCTCGCGCCACATTTGTGCATTCTCTCCTTTGAGTTGCTCTATAGCAGCACCATTATCGCGTGATTAGTTTGAGACAATTATACCGAGCACACTCTTGGAATCTATAATCCATGCTAGCAATAGCACATTTCGAGCTTGCAACATTTATCATATAGTTGTCGACATTGTAAGTTCTCACCCATGATCATCACTCGGTCTGGAAAGTAATCGTTGGCATCTTCAATGTTTACATGGACATCATCTATTTTTCACAAAACATGCATCGTAATATATTCAATTTAGAAGTCATGCTTTTGTCCTCCGTACCATCTATTACATTTGAATAATGCTACGCTTCATAAAAAAAATATTAAGAAAAGTTTTATGAAAATTCTTTACACTTGGATTAATTTATTATGTTTTATTATTTGTTATGCAATCACATACATTAAATTACAACCTATCATCAATAAGACAAAATTAAGTTTATACCATTAGCAAACTAAGACTTTAAAACTAAAATATACTTACATTAAGATAAGTCACTTTTCTTACTTTTTTACCTGTCACACTAGACTATTTATTCTTAAAGGTACACGAAACTTTCCTTAATATTTCTTTTATGAAACCTAACATTAAACATTACATTTGGAATTGATGTATGAACCAATTGTCGGTGGCATACGAAAGTCAATGTTGTTAGGATTGATTGTATAACTTGATGAGGCAAAAATATTACAATTTTCGTTTGACATTTTTATTGAGCTTTGCATGGAGTGTTAAATTCGGTAAGAGACTACATGTAAATGAGACTGCCATCCAATTGGTTGAAAATAACATTTTATGAGACTTATCCAATGAAAAAATCAACACTACATTTACGTGTTAATAAACTTTTTTTACAAAAATAGTCGCATAATTCTAAATACAAGAGGATTAAGGTTGTGTCAAAATTTTAGGTACGTTTGACTTGAGAGCATCTCTTTAGCTCTCTCTGCGCAAGATCCTTCTTGGACACGCTCAAAATGCCCAACTGCTCCTCAACCTTCCCGATAAGAAGTTTTAGCAGCGGAACCTTTGAAAGCGTCTTACACGACCCCACCATGATTAACTTCTTCTGTAAAGGAAAAGAAAAACCAAAAAAATGTTACCCTGCCAATTTGGAATGCTCTATTTATAGTATTTCCTATTGCAAATGATTTATTTATTTTGAATCTTGGACTCGGTAACTAACTTATAATAGGTTAGCGCAACAGAAATTTGGGTGAAGATTTAGATGATTTGTTATGCAAATACAGATGATGCTAACCTTGGCACGTGTCAGAGCCACATTAATCCTATGCCAGTCTCCAAGCAGCGAAGAAATGCAGTTCCTTGGACTGTCATTAGATCTTACGAAAGAGACCAAGATGCAGTCCTTATCCCTTCCCTGGACAACCAAAAAAGGATCATGATAAAGCACTGCTGCAGTTTAAATGAAAATTTTGAACCAAATTTGAATGTCCCATTTAAATCGATAGCATTTCATTTTCTAATCAAATAAAAATAAACCTTCATAAGAATCAACTCAAGTTGAATTGAAGAGCAAAGAAAACTCATTAACCCAGCCAAAAAAAATAATGTCATTGGATGTTGCATGTTTTCTACAAGCTAGGCCATTTAATATTGCCCTGTTTTCTGTTTACAAAAAACAGAAGAGTGTGACATGCTACAATGACATACAGGTCGAGCAATTTGACAAAAATTTCAAAAGTGGATGGCCTATTACTCAATCTTATTACAAAAAAATATGGGGCATAACAATAGTGAAGGGAAGCAGTATATCATGTCTCAAAGTTTTCAAATTTTAAAAGATAAGGACAATATTTATTGATGATTTAGTAGAAACACCATGCATATACTTACTGTAAGTTATGCAAACTAGACAGGTAGGGAGGAATTGCATTCCATACTGATTTATTATTACTTTATTATTAATGGATTCCAAAAATCACTGAGGAAACATATGCAATATCTGGGATTTCTGGAGATTAATTGATAGATTAAAAAAAGGGAAAGAATAAACCTGGAAATACTTTTTGAAATTATCACAAACAGAGATGAAGTTATAACCTGGTATTTGTCAATGGTATGTATCTCCACAGATGAGGAAACATCATGGCGGATGAGATTTGCCTGAGAGTTATAGGGGGTGATGATGCCGATATCTTCCATTTCGATTCCTTTGTTAACCAATTCCTCGGTGATCTATTTATAAGGAACAAAAGTTGCATGAAAAAATTATCCAGGATAAGCACTAAAGGTCACATGATTGACTCACAAAAGGATAAGGGTATGTAACTGTCGAAACAAAATTGTAGAAAGAACATACCTCAGCAATAATGTTAGCTTCAACTGGGTTATTCAGAGTCTTTCCATCTTTTGCCTCGAGAGCAGGCAACATATCTAAGTTGTAAATAGATGGTTTAGTAAGCAGCTCAAGTAATATAGCAAAGCTTCATTTAGGGTTGGTTTGGGATGTTTTAAAAAAGTGCACTTTTTGACTTATTGGCTTATATGGGTTGGGTTTGGGGTTGGGTTGAGTTTGATGTGATGTGGTAGAGAGGTGATGTGATTTAAATAAGGTGATGTGACTTAAATAGGATAGTGACTTTTTGACTTTTTGTATTATTTAGTAGATGCCAAACTTGGCCTTAATAGAAAGAATTTGAAAAAAGGGAGTCAGGGAAAGTAAATAAACCTGTATTAATAAATATTACAGGCCGGTTTGGATCCAAAACCTGCAAAAATTACCATCCGTTATCTTGATTTCAACTTGGCATTGGACTCGAGGTTATTAAAATGGTTGCATCACAAAGCACAAATGAATGCAGAAGTTCAAATTCATAAATTCTAGTTACATTAATATAAACATCAATTCCCACTCAATGTTGCCTCTTGATTAGATACAAAGATTGTGACAGATTTATACTCTGCACAATTTTTTTTTTCTTACAATTTTGAATGACAACCAATTTCAATTAATTTATAATGGTATTAACAGTGTTTCCAATTAATCTAAAACCAACACCCTCTCACGTGCAAGCCTGTTAATACCATTATAACCATTTAACTCAAGTTTTCTAAATTCATTGTCCCAAGTACATTGAGCTGATACACTATGGTATAATTTTTTCCTAAGGATGAGCTAATCTGAGTACATAACAAACTTAATATCATTCTCTAACATTTGAACACTCAGGTCATAGAATTTTAACAGGAATAAAACAAGATAGAATAAATATTCTCCTTACACAGAAATGCATCTTCTTGAAACGGGTACAGTAAACACACTTTACTATAAATAAATCATTACCTCCTTTAGCCAAGAAGATATATATTTTGAACTGGTGTACTTAAGTTTGGCATTCTCTACTTCAGAGGAACCACAGCGCAATCTGTTACCATATATCAAGGCGTTTGATAGGTCCATAATGCTTGCACACATACGGTACTACATTTTGCAACATATAGATATTTAGCTTGTTAGCCCAACTAGAAAAGGAATAACAGGAGAAGAGAAAAACCAAAAGGTTGAACTAAGAAGTCAGAATCACCTGGTTTTGTAATGCCGAAATTGCCTGGGGATGAGCTTCTGAAAGCCTGCAAAACAAGCTTACACCCATTCCATTCTCTAACGACTCTGTGCTCTAAAATAAACAGGGACAATATAATATTTTTTTTATTAGACATAACTAGACGGAAAAATTATCTAAACTATGAATCACATGAAGAAAATTTGCAACCTGGACAAGGGGTGGTAATTGATAATGATCTCCAACAAGGACAAACTTTGAAGCATACATCAAGGGACCCAGGGATACCTGATAGGACAATTATACAATATTCACTCATCACTCAGTGAAATGAACCGAGTCTCATCTTAATTAGAAGCATATAGATAAAGACCAAAAAAACATTAGATCTATTAAGTTGCTTCATAAACAATGCTTGATAAGTAGATGAAAATTTATACCCATTATTGAGAGAATATATATATATATATACATGTAGCACCAAATGTAATGAAAGGTACACATCAGTTTATCTGTACATGCAGCAAATATATTTGAACCATCAATTTTCCACAGATTCCACCGCTCCACAACGTGCAACAACTCTACATTACCCCTTTCGATTTGCAATATTTGTCTGGAATTTTTAAAAATTGCATACCATGAAATACATGGCAAATATAGATTCAAAAACAGGTAGGTAGTTTCAATCGGAAACAAAATTTACCACCAACCTTTCAAATTACTCAAACATCAAAACAACATCGATGCATACATTCTGCTTGGAAGCATACAATTTAAAAACACAAAAAGAAAAAGAAAACACAGAACAAAGGGAGGAAAGAAGAAAGTGATACTTAGGTAGAAACATCCCAGTACATAGTAATCTGTTATTTACTTAGAAGTGTAGCCTCATTATTTTCAGCTCAACCCTAGGTTAAAACGATGGTGCCACAGGGTCTTGTGACATCTTTAGACAAAAAAGAATAAAAAACAGTTTTAAAAACCCACAAATGATTGAATTGTGTGTTGCAAACAATCACAAAATGAAACATCCGCAAAATCATTGATTCTAATATTCACATGAAACCATTGAATATTTTCCAGCTACCTCTATTTTGATTACGTGGTCAATGATCCATATTTATTTCTGCAGTATTTGATACTTTGAAAGGTCTGACATGAGTTCATACATTTGCAATTCTTTAAATTTCACGACATAGAAATATATATATATATACATATATACATGCCAAATTTGATGACATGACACATACCACTGTTGATAGTAGAGAACTTAGACCGATCTTGTGTAAAAGTGAATGTCAAGTGTCCCTCTCTTTACGATTCACGATTCGATTCGATTCGCGATTCGGTACAAGATCATTTCGATTCACGATACGAATCTCGATTTGACAACTATGCTCTTAAGTGTTTTTACTAGAAGCTATAATTGTTTAAAAGGTATGCCTAGGCCCAAGAAAAAGCCTGAGCTCATCAAGGTAGAGCCAAGTGCCTCATTCTATGCCAAGAAAGGTCTGTTCAATCAGAAGCATATGGAGTCCTCCGGTTTGCAGGTTCTAATAGGTTCCAAGCCCAAGAAGAGTGCTCCTTTTAATTGTTTTTTACTTTATTATATTCTATTTTTCTATTTGTTTCTGCGATGTATCATATTGGGGTCTTATACAATTAGTTTAGTTGTTGAAGAATATATGATATTTGGCTTAGTTGAATGTATTTTCAAATTGGAAGGACAAATAGAACTATATGTTAGTTTAGTTAACCTCACAGTTGATATGCCAATTCACTTTCTAATTTTGGACTAATATGTTCTCAATTCTTTTTGTGCTGCCAATGCATGTAATCTACATTACCCCTTTCGATTTGCAATATTTGTCTGGAATTTTTAAAAATTGAATACCATGAAATACATGGCAAATATAGATTCAAAAACAGGTAGGTAGTTTCAATCGGAAACAAAATTTACCATCAACCTTTCAAATTGCTCAAACATCAAAACAACATCGATGCATACATTCTGCTTGGAAGCATACAATTTAAAAACAAAAAAAGAAAGAAAACACAGAACAAAGGGAGGAAAGAAGAAAGTGGTACTTAGGTAGAAACATCCCAGTACATAGTAATCTGTTATTTACTTAGAAGTGTAGCCTCATTATTTTCAGCTCAACCCTAGGTTAAAACAGTGGTGCCACAGGGTCTTGTGACATCTTTAGACAAAAAAGAATAAAAAACAGTTTTAAAAACCCACAAATGATTGAATTGTGTGTTGAAAACAATCACAAAATGAAACATCCGCAAAATCATTGATTCTAATATTCACATGAAACCATTGAATATTTTCCAGCTTCCTCAATATTTTGATTACGTGGTCAATGATCCATATTTGTTTCTGCAGTATTTGATACTTTGAAAGGTCTGACATGAGTTCATACATTTGCAATTCTTTAAATTTCACGACATAGAAATATATATATATATACATATATACATGCCAAATTTGATGACATGACACATACCACTGTTGATAGTAGAGAACTTAGACCGATCTTGTGTAAAAGTGAATGTCAAGTGTCCCGCTTAAGTGTTTTTACTAGAAGCTATAATTGTTTAAAAGGTATGCCTAGGCCCAAGAAAAAGCCTGAGCTCATCAAGGTAGGGCCAAGTGCCTCATTCTATGCCAAGAAAGGTCTGTTCAATCAGAAGCATATGGAGTCCTCCGGTTTGCAGGTTTTAATAGGTTCCAAGCCCAAGAAGAGTGCTCCTTTTAATTGGTTTTTACTTTATTATATTCTATTTTTCTATTTGTTTCTGCAATGTATCATATTGGGGTCTTATACAATTAGTTTAGTTGTTGAAGAATATATGATATTTGGCTTAGTTGAATGTATTTTCAAATTGGAAGGACAAATAGAACTATATGTTAGTTTAGTTAACCTCACAGTTGATATGCCAATTCACTTTCTAATTTTGGACTAATATGTTCTCAATTCTTTTTGTGCTGCCAATGCATGTAATTCAAAATCCATGACAGTTCTTAGTTTGTGGAGGTTAAATGCTCCCCTTGTAAAAAATAACAAGAAAAAATGGACAACCACAAAAAATGAAGCCCAGGTGAGAATCACAGAAAAGGATCACTATGAATGAAAGTGTCATCTAAATAGTAGCACGGAAAATACTCCTCTAATAGCTAAACCTGCCTTGAAGTTACAATTCTTGAGACCCTAAAGAATCCATGCTGTCTGTCTATAATCATTGCCATCAGTAAGTACTGTTCTAGCTTCCTCTAAGATGTGACAAAACCTAACCCAAATGCAACCTTAAACCACAAAAAATGCAAGGACTTCCTCTTATTAACTTCCGGTTTTTCAACCAAAAATGCAAGGACCTCCACATATTGACTTCCGGTATCTCAAGCAATGACTAAGCCCAATTTTCTTATATAATTTTATTAGTATTACTGAGCATTACATGATGCTTTCTTAATTTATGAAACACATAGCCAATACCAAAAGAGGACATACCGGTAGTGTAGTTTGGCCAGCTTCATCCATGATGCATACATCAAATCTCTTGTTGACAAGCAAGGGACTAGTTATCCCCAAACAAGTAACTGCAACAACTTTGATTTGGTCTAGTCTTACCTTAATGTCTTCAATACTATGTATGTCCATTGCTGTCAAAGAAAATTTTCATATTAGATTGAAAAGAAACCAAGTGACGTTGAATCAGAAAACCAAAAACAAGCAAAGGAAAAAGAGGCCATCAATGATAGCACATGAAACCTGAAAAGCAATGCCCCCGAACTTCCTCATGTACAGCATCATTTCTTCCAATGCGTACAAAATCTATGCCCTGCAACAGCTTACATTTCAGTGAATTTTGAAAGTAACCCAGAATAGTGATGATGCAATAAGAAGATGTAAGATTCTTCGTTATTTACTTTTTTTTTTATTTTTTTATTATTATTATTATTATTATAAAGAGAGACACAAGATGATTTAAAATATCAAAAAATTAAATAAATCAATACAAAAATAATTTTCTATTTTGGAATCATGAATAATAACATTTTTCTGAAGATCATGGCACCATTTTAGTGTCGTATATCCTCAAGATTAAAAGCTACTCTACTCTTTTTTATTGGCCAAGTGAAGCTACTCTACTCATCTCAGATCAACTGTAAGGTAAAAGCTATTTAATCCACATCTTACTCCACCATCTTAACAGGTGAAACAGTGAAATTTCACCAAGATTTTGGCTTGAGCAAAAACCATGGGGTGTATATATACATAAATACATATATATTGCTTTGCTTCTGCTTTTCGTCCTTCCCCTCTTTAGAAAATTTTGGTCACCATTCAGGGAAACGTACCAAAGGTCCTACCAAGACCTCGGAGGTTCTCAGCCATAATGTTTTACATAAGATTTATCATTCAAGCTTTTCAAGAACAATATAACACAAGATCTCAGAAGAACATGTTCTTTGAGTCATAAACATTTAATCATTTGTCCATTTGCTTAAAAAAAAATATCCCCCATCTCTTTGATAGTGCATCTTTCTTCACCTCCATTGTTATCTTCTTCAAGTTCCAAGCTGGTGTAAGCAAAAAGTAGATGTCACACAGTCGTGAGTAGAACTTCAACCCAAAAGCTAATTATTGAGGTGAGAGCACCCTCATGTTTATATACTGCACATTACTTTTGTACCCAAGCAATATCAGACTTTGATTTACACCCTTTGTCACACAGAGCATGCACACTCGGCAGCACCTGTCGTTTGCAAACCAGGGACACACACCCTACCCATGCTCGGCTACTTCAGCTTCGATACCAAGTTACACCATCTTCAGTAGAACTCAAGCCCCAAAAGCTAGTAGTTGAAGTGAGAGCGCCCTCATGCTTATATAGTGCACATTATTCTCATACCCAGTTGATATGGGACTTCACTTGACACCCTCCCTCATGCAAAGCGTGCTCACTTTGCACCACCTGCTGCATGCAGGCAAAAGACACACCCTAGCCATCCCTGTTATAACGACTATTGTGGGAAAATTCATGGACATATCTAAGAATAAGTTGTAAGAAAAACAGACAGAACCGAGCTGACCACCCAAGACTGATCAAATTTTTTATTTTTCAGTCAGTTTTTCATAAGGTACTGTCTATTTTGGTTTTGAAAAATTTTACACAAATACCAAATGAAATATTCTATTTAAATACTTTTTATATTTTAATTCTTTGAGCATTAGAAAATAAGCAACCACTGCTATACATTTTAAAGTTGAGGAGCATTTACCCCACTCTATAATTCATTCCTGATGTGGAATTCTACAAGTTTTTATAAAACCCCTAAATCCTCATGTGAATCTCTCCTTTATACTAAACCGAAAACTGACAAACTAAACCATAGCATGTGGTCAGTTTCGGTTCCTAAAAGAACAAAGGTGAATGATTAGGTTTGGTGGTAAATTTTCCCTCAACCCAAACCGAACTGACCCGTTTACACCCCTATCTAAGAAGCAAACCATTACTTGAAGGCATGAGAAGTACAAGATGACAAAAGTTTACAAGAAAGGAAAGATATTTCTCACTGTTTCAGATCCATAATGGAATGCTGACTTTGGACTCCTATTGTAAACACTTTTTATTTCAGTTTGCAACGAGGGTACTCTTCTTGAGTTAAAGCAAACATAAATTCAAACTCACTACCCCAACAACATTTAGTTATGTAATACTTTAACTACATGACCATGGTTGTGATGCAAATAAACATAAATTTGTGAACACTAATGTAATAACTGATATAAGATGCATCAAGAAGAGAAATGACCTGAGCTTTCAATTTGATAAGTAAATTATCAACAGCTGAATTTGTGTAGGATGTAAGCAAAATAGATGCACCTCTCATCAACAATGCCTTTACTGCATGAACCATAGTGGACGTTTTGCCAGTTCCAGGCATTCCCAGAATAAGTGCATAATCCTTTGCTGTAAGTATCTGAAATAATCAAACTGTGCAATAAGTAAACTTAAGCAGTTGCATATAGGAGCCAGCAAACTGCACATAGTGGCAATACTAGAAAGATGGAATGCAAATTGTGGGTAGTTAGTTGCATAATAGACAACCCTGATTATGGCTCTGCGCTGATCATTATTCAAATTCTTCTCAGCCCAGATATATGAAATTGCAGGGTCTTGACTAAATATACATCCGCTGTCAAATCTAGGAGCCTGCCACAAAAGTTCTATTTCACTAACACAATTTGCATCATGACCGAAAATTAAGGATTTTAAAGTTTAGCAGCGTACTTACCTCAAGATCAACAATCATCCTCCTTAGATGAAAACTATGCTCATTTTGTAGAAAGAGTTGTATAAGGTTGAACCTTCATCAACAAAGACAAGCATGCAGGGTGTATGTGTCACAATCATTTTGACAGCAAGAGATACTAGCAATAAAAACAACTGTAATGACATTTAAGATGCCATTATAATCATTTAATTACCTCATGATTGCAAACGAGGCCATAAATTCATCCTTGTCAATACGCCAAACTTCTTGATGGAGATCTTGTGCTGCAGAAGAAGGGCTGCTCCCCGGAAGCCTTAAGCGCTTTGAAAAGGAAACCTGAGATTTTACAAGTCAATTAAAGAGGAAATCAGACTAAAAAATTCTAGAACATCAAAAACTTTTTTATGATACTGTCATACATCCCTTGGTAATAAGGATCCGCTTAGAAAATGGGTATTTCTGCCTATAAAGTATTACAATAGAACAATATATACTGCAATATAATTCTTACAGTAACTTGGGAGCGACTGATATCCATAATGATCCCACTTGCAACTGTTAGACGACTAGGTTCGGTGCTCAATATCTAAAACAAAATAGGAGTAAGTGAAAGAACAGAGATTTCATTGATTAGATAGATATAACTAAGAAAAATATAATTAAACAAAAAAAAAACATGCAATGCAATTCAAGACTTGCTACAGCTAAAAAGTCATGAGGTGACAGCATACACACATTTGACCCATAGCAGACATAATCCAAAAACAAAATGAGCAGGCAAACATGTTCAAAACTTGAGTGGAACATAAGACTTAGTTTGGTTTGGTTTGGTTAGTTCATAAAATTTCCAATTTGAGTCAAATTGGTCTAGTTCCGTCGATGATTTAGAACAGTCCTTGTGAAATTGGACCGATTTGACTCAAATTGAAAACCTTTGGAACTAAATTGACACAATTGAAACTTGGAACACCAAAGTAACACAAAGGACAAGCCTTATGAACCATAGACGCATTTTATCTTAATATGTAATTATATAGAGTGTTTAAAACAAAGATCTACATCCTAAATGTCCACGCATTTAAAGAAATGCAAGCATTAGACCAACTTTTAGAATATAAAACGGTTACACAACCTAAGATGATAAGCATAATCCCTGAAATTACAAACGAAAAACAAAGCGATGGTTATGAATAAAAAAATAGAAAGGAAAAAGGAAATTTATTTTATAAAACCTTATCAGATTCCCTTTGGGATTGCACATGATAAGGATCAGTCTATCAACTCTAAAGAAAAACTGGGAAAGCATGTATTCATCAACACCAGGCTTTAACTTGGAGGGAACATTGTGCATTGGCCCTTATGTGGGAGCAAAATACGTTACTTTCACATGTAATTGTAGAATGTTACACTGTTAGTGCGTCTAGCCCCAACCCCTTCCCACCCTTAAAGAGTATGGATATATTAGCACCTTGAAATATATGAGACTAACATAAACAGAGTTTCTTAGCTCATCACACATATCATAAATTCCCGTATCAAACTTGTTCTAACATTCTGTCGTATTCAAAATTTTAAATGCAACCAGAAGTATTATGTCCATGCCAATGGGTAACACCAAAAAGTCGAAAGGGGGAAAAAAGAAGAAAGGACCAATTAGGAGAGAAAGTATACCACATAGTCTCCACTTCTTAGCATGCAATTCATGTCATCAGTTGGAGAAGAGACAGCACTCAGAGAATCTCCATCATGTGCTTCACCATCAATTGGAGGTAAATCTTGGCGCACAAAGCGATAAATGAATCTGTTTGCCTTCAAAATTTTTGTCTGTTTGAGTTCTTCTGAAGTATCAAGAACCACAGAAGATAGGGAACTAGTTGACTTTTCACTCCTCACACTAGATGGACACCAGATGTCTTTCTTACTGATCTGAGAGTGAAAAAAAATTAGCAACTCAAGGCATTACACTCGAACTGTTTTAGCAATAGCCTTTACTGTCATGCATACAGTCATTAAATCACTGCACCTGTATTTCCTTAGCTTCTAAGTCAATTAACCGCTCCCATTGGCGAAGGAAAGCACAATGCCTACTTGTTAAATGGTGAACAAGTGAATCAAACATGTCACCCAATCCACTACCCTCTGTAGTTCCACCATGTGCCTTCAACATTTAAAATAAAAATGCCACATTTTAGTATGGATGAAAAGCATAGTTAGTAAGAGTAATTAGAAGGCATCTTCTTTGCAATAGCTATTAAGTAGCAGATCAGCTAAATTAGCAATTCGAGGTGAAAAGGTTACCTTATGGTAGATGGTACAAACATTTAGGTGGCGGCAACCTTTGCACATGTTTGGGCTCTATACAGAAAGGAAAAAGATGGATGTTCAGATAGCAAAGAGGAAAAGAATAATCCCAATACCGACAATGCTGTGCAATAAACATACTTTTAACATTGGTGGCAATTGTTGAGATGTTGATGCCTTAAGAATATCATTTGCAAGTTCATTCCGACGCATGATCAGCCCAACCAAGTCAGATCTTTGAACCACAATTCCCTTCACGTGTATACACATGCAATACATTCAATTACAAGGAAACAGGAAGAAACATGAGAAGAAGCGTTTGACTTTACCTGTGTCTGATCTGTGTGGAGATAATATAGCAGACCATGATCAATAGTCTTCAGGTATCTGAAAAGGAGAAAACAAATAGGTGAGGGGAAAAAATAAAGTTGACAAGAAAATTGGCCAGACCACACCAACCTCTCAGACATAAGGAGAGTGTATAACATCACTTGTGCACTGTGTTCCATAGCTGTCTGCACAAGCAAGTAAAAGTAAGAATGATAACATAATTGGGAGGGGCGGAGCAATCAGATTATAAGAAATTCAATTGATCCTCAAATTCTTTGAACAGAAAATAGCAGTTAGATGATAAGCTTGCCTGGCCACTGGTTCCTTTCCCAGTTTTAAATTCTAAAGGCATTATCTTCTGACAAACTTCATTAGTGCTCGAAATGACTTTAACTTGAACAGAAGCATCAATCATCCCTTTCAGGCCATATTTTGGGGCCCATGCCATCTCTTCAATATCAACTACCTACATTTGAATGGCATCACTCAAAAAAAGTATGTATTTCATATACGAGCAGAAGACAGCTTTATAAGTCTGAACCCTTTGCATACCTGAGTACGAGATTGCTTGTAAGAAATGAAGAGAAATGTTGAACATACATTTGTTCACATAAAAACTCAAGTAGACATGCATATATATTAGATTTTGGAAGAACATGCAAATACCAAGCATAGTTGTGTGTGCAGTTTTAAACTGCATGTAGCATTGTAACAAAATAGGCAATGTATCTTCACAATCAAACTATGCATAGATGCCCTGTCAATGTTCATAGCCTCATACAGAAAAAAATAAAAAAAATAAATAAATCCATGTAGATGCAAAATCCACTTGTTAGATGAAGTGCACACACAAATAAACAAGACTAAGCGAGATTCATTACCTCAGTTAGTTTAACCTTCTTCATTCCATCATCATATCGAAAATCAACACTAGGAATTTTTGAATCCTGGAAATTTATTGAAATCATTAGCCTCTGATATACATTATATACACATGTACAACTATATTCGCGGCTCCTTGCAAGTACTAAGTATCAACCAAGGGCAGAAAGGGAAATAGAAGTATCCTTATATAAATAACAATCCCCTCCATACATAAGATAACAACCTGAATCCATGAAGAATAATAGTGCAGTATCTGAAATGGGTTCAAGTGTTGACCACCAACTCATCAAAAATCTTAAGCCCTTAGAGAGTGGAGCAACTTTATTTTTTTATATTATATTCCCAGCACACCCCCTCACATGTGGCCAAGCTCTCCTCCATAAGCGGGCCAATCACGTGCAACTATTTTTAATTATCAGGTAGGAGGTAAGGTTCAGATAGCTTTAAAGCGTTGACCACCAACTCATCAAAAATCTCAAGCTACTAGAAAGCGGGGGAACTTTATTATTTATATTATATTCTCAACAATTTGTCATCTTATACAGTTTCTTTAGTGTGCCAAATGTACTTTTTGTTGCATTTATTGTTAAATAGTTTGATATACATTATTGGGCCAATTTCCTAACAACTAAGAAGCACGACATGGGACATGACAATTTTGAAAAAAAAATAGGATATGGACACAGCGGGAATACGGCAAAAAATATATACATTTTTTATATTTTTATTTGCCAAGTATATATGAATATAAATTTAGAGTACGAAGAAAACATATAAGAGATATTAATGTATATATAAGTGTATTTTCATTTTTTCCACTTCCCCTCCCTGTTTATATATGTTTTACTTTGTGTCCCCGAAGTGTCTTGCAAAAAAGTAATAATTACAAATTTGACACACCACAGGACATGTCTAACACACGGACACATGTCTGCGGCATGTCGTTGTCTGATACATGTTGGAGACGAATATGACACCCATTTTGAAGTGTCCATGCTTCCTAGCCTAACAATTTAAGCTTTTGGGGACAGTTGATGACTTAACATGGTGTTAGAGATATGGTTCTAGGCTTGTCATGTGTATTTGCTCCTCTATAATGTTTGTGCACTCTTGTTCTATGTGTTTGCGCACCCTATTCAATTCAATTTGTGCATTCATCTGGTTATCTCTAGCTGTGCAAGATGGGTTGACTGTTAGAGGGAGTGTCAGATAGCTTGATACATTGTTAGGCTCATTTTCTAACAACCCAAGCTTTTGGGACAGTTGCTTATTTAACATACACATTGTTAAATCTACGTGTTACTGTTACATCTTTGCAGAACTGAAGTGTTGTCTAGTTGACCGTGTTACCATCCCCCAAAAACACCATCACACTTTAGATTTATGGATATTAAAAGCCAATATTTACAGACCTGTGAATCTCGGAAGAGGAGTATCCAATTTAATATTTTTGGAATTGCCTCGATCAAAGTTTTGTGCAAATCAATTTCATTCACTGCAATATCCACAAACAGTGGAAGTCAGAAATTTCACATACAATAATAGTAAAAAAATGTTGGTCCAAAAGATAAAAAAGAAACAAAATATGCGAATATAGCTTATTCAACAAGTATACAACAGGGTTTCACAAATTCAATGTAATGATGAACCTGATGAAGACAAGAATTTGCCAGTGACAAATGGTAAATTACGAAAAAGTGACATTTTTATAAATCTCCACCTCCACATGCGTACAAGCTCTCAATATTTTTCTGAAGCACAATTCTTGCATATTCCTCCAAGAATTCCTTAGTTAGAACTTCCCTCATTAATCCAGCCTGGAGCAAGACAATATATTCATTCAAAACAAGAAAGGTCAAAACTGAAAAATAAAAATAAAGTGTATCATGAAAGCTTGCTTACACCAAATAAAACACACAAAATTCAACAATAATACAAATGAAAATAGAAATAATCTAAAATTATGAAACCTGAAAAACTTGATGCAGCAAGGTACCAATCAATGCTGCTACTGATTGCTCGCTGCATTTTAGCCTCTCATCTAGTACAGTTCGCCTTGGGCAACTGAAACTAGCAGCAACCTGGAGTTTCAATTTTTTTACAAACAGTGAGGTAAAATAAGCAGAAATTCAATCAATAGGAACCATTACAAGTGATGGCTCAAAGCAACTCATATTACATAAAACACAACTTGCATTGTCAATTGAGAAAATTAAACATACGTAATATAGATAATTAAGAAAGAATTAGTCAAGTACCCGAGTTCCAGACATCAAAACATCGGGATGAATAATTAGATAATTCTTGTCACGATTCACGTCACACTTTCCTTGGTTGTCAAATTCGCCAATGACACGAATTGTATCCCCAGGAGCAATGACACTATAAAACCTGTGGGGAAAAAAATCAAGAACACTATGATCATAATCTCCCATGGCATTTACTTAACCAAATACAGCATACCATCAGGATAAGAAATGGATTTTGACAGAAAAGGTTTTTGGTTTTAAAATAAAAGAAAATAAAGAAAGAAAGAAATCAAAATGCCTGTTTATGAAGCAGATATATAGAACATAGAACCAAAAGAAAATCAAAGAAAATAATTTGGAATGATGTATGTTCATCATTTAAAGCTTAAGGGTCTAGTGACTAGTTTGTAAAATAGAAATAGAAAACTTCAACAGGCAAGAACATAAAAGAATGAGACTGTCATCAGGATAGCAGGAAATTCAACTGCAAATTCTAAGATAGCCCTTCCATAAACAAAAGAATAAGTCAAGAAGCTGTCATCAGGATCAGGGTAGTTCAACTGCAAGTATATATGGAAGCCCTTTCAGGATTAAATAATAGCTGTAATTTTTGTAATTTATAGTTACATATGACAGGAATCTACGCACACTTCAGGCAACTATGGCATAGCACCCAAAAATCACAAAGTTAAGATCTCATTTTTTTTTTCACAAGCCAAATAATTAGAATTCTAGTCACAGTTGTTATGGGTGGCTACTTGGGTGCCTGGGCAGTCACCTAGCCCTTGACATTTGGACAACCGTTTTGGACAATACTCATTTTTTTTCCTTTTGGCCCCCTTTTTAAGAACAAATTTGAGTATATTTTTTCAAATTGAATTATTTTAAAAGGATTATTTAGATAATGAATATGGAATACCATATAATTTGTTCGACCTGATCTAATTGATGTTATAAAGCAAATTTAACTACTGACCACTCATCCCACAAATGGACTGCCCGCTCTTCTCCACTTTGCTCATTCAATAAGCGCAGAACCTGAAAGGCAATAGCTTACTGTGACTAACTTACCGGCTATATTAAACCATTTTAAGTGACTCAAGATTTAAGTACCACTAAACCTTGAAAGGCAATTGAGAACCAGATGAATTAATAGCTCCACACTTCTCCGAAACCTGCAGCAGAATATGATGATAAGTATATAAGGAAACATCATATTTCTCATGCAAAAGGATGAAAGTGAAAAAGATGGAAGCATACCTCCAATACAAGAAAATAAAGATTGGAGGTTTCCTTATTGACCTTTCCTGGCAGATCAATCACCAAGCTCTTCACAGAAGGATTAGCTTTGTCAGATCTCTCATCACCATTTCTACCTTGAACTTCAGATAAGCATGCCTCTGTACCCTTACATACTGATTCATCAACAGAAATTACATCTTCCACTTGATCTAAAAGTTCAAGCAATGCCTAAAAGAAATGACAAGAAAATAAAATAAAAATAAAGTGAACATAACTAGAAGATAGAATAAGATGCCCAAGAAATTTACCCTTAAAATCATTCTTAAAAACAAGGACCAATAAGATAATGCATTTGGAGAAAAAAACAGAGACAAAAAGTGGCAATCAGAAGATAATATATTCTTTAAGTAAATAAATAATAATAACCTTTTTGTGTTGCCTTGAACCCAGCTGATCTGTTACTCCATTGGAACCAACAATATCATCAGGCTGTAATTTAAATTTCATAAAATATGAGAAGATTTTCTGTTCTAAAACAATTCAATTAGAATACTTGATATGTAGAAACATAACATACCTTATCATGACAATATGACAGAGATGGTGGAGTCTTAAAAGGACTCTGGCTATTAGTTAGACAAGAGTTATTCTTATCATTTGCATTTCCTTGACTTTGATGGAAATCTACATCATGATGAATGTTAATCCTTTTCAAGTTCACCCTGTTTGAGATTAACAATGATTTTTCCGTGGGCTTCAGTGGAGGTGAAGAAAGCCACTTCTCAAGCTTACCGGGTGATCTGGGAGAACTCTGCACCTTATAGTGTTAACCACCCAACAAAGAATGCCTATACGCAAGTTAAAGAAACGATAATCAAATAGAAAAACATGCCTTATTCTGTTGGCAGCAATGAAAATTCAAAGAGTTGAGTCTCGAAGAGTCTGCTAACACCCTGACCATCTCAGGTAAGTGCTTTGACACTGCATGGAGCCGATCATTAACAGGAGAAATTTTCCAGGTGACCTCATCGCCTCCATCATCCTGGCTCTGCTTTATCAACTATTACAACAATAATTAAGTAAGCATCTTAACCAACTCAAAATTCCGTTAAATCCACTTGAACAACTCCAATACGTTCTTTGTATTGTCTCTTTTTTCAGTCATAAAGATACACCCAAGAAAATCCAAAGAAAAAAGTATCTAATGTGCTTCTACCACTTCCACTATCAGATTCCAATTCTATTCAACTGAATGTGGGTCTTACATGAACAGATAGAATAATGTCCTTGAAATCAATACATGAAGCATCGCAAATCATGAAACACTATGTCAGTGCAAAAATTAGCATTTGGGTACAATCATAGCGACGCATGAACAATCCCCAGCAGTATTGAAACAATCCAAGTTAGTAAAAGAATCTAAATCACAATTTGTGTACAAGTGCATCAAGAATTGTTGGTCCTCTGTGTTGTGTAGCTTATATCAATTTCAAAGTAGGTCAATTCCATTAACTGTAACCATTCAATACTTGTACAAAAAAAAAAAAAACACTTGTACAAAAAAAATAAAAATAAATAAATAATACCATTCCTGGTGAAAACTTGAAGCGCTTGGCAGACACAGACTTGGAAATTTCAGGGGACGCCTCGGATTGATTTTCTCCATCATTAACTGCAATAGGGAAAAGATTATCGGGAGGAGTATTCTGTGAAAGGCTATTGGCATCAGTGCTCCGCAAATTCAGCTTCTTTTTTTTGCTTTGATGTGCTGAAACCTCATTACTCCGACCTAAAGCTCCCAAATTCAAATCATTCTTAGGGTTCTGATGTGAATCGATTGCAATTTTAGGTTGTGGGGTATGGATGCTTCCTGATTCCGACCCATTTTCAGGGTTTTGAAGGTTTGAGACGCCATTAACTGCGTGAAGTGGTTTGGATTTGGACGCATTATTGGGATCAGAAGATTGCGAATTGTTAGGGTTTTGGGAGAGAGTGTTTTGAGTGTGGCGGTCGAAGAAATGCTGGATTCCGAACTTGGAAGGCTGAGAGTTTTGGTGGTTTGGATTGGATTTCTTGGAGGTAGAGTTCTGTTTCTTCCTCGGAGGCATTTGGAAGATCTCCACTACTGTAACTAGGGTTTCGATCGCATTAGCTCCCAAAACTAATATATGTATATATCTATGTATATGCATATACAGTTCGACAGAAATAGAAATAAACAATGGGGTTTGTGATTTCCCGCCTAATGAATTCATTTCTTTTTATTTTCAGGAGGGAAAGCGGTTGGACCGTCCGATCAAGATTGTCCAATACTGCTTCTATTTACCCTATATGCCTCGATTGGTAACAAGCCAAAATAACTTACTTGCGTTTGGTAGAATTTTGTAAATATGATTTAAGAGTATGAGTTGTATTTTGAGTTTGTAAGTTGTGAAATTATGATTTGAGTGTAGAAAGTTTGTTTGGTTATGGATTTTAAATAGAGTGTTGAATTGAGTGTGAAATTGGGTCTTGAAAGTTTGATTTGACATGTGAAGTAAGAAAATTTGTTTGGTTATGAGTTTTGAAAAGAGTTTTTAAAACTTAATTCAAATTATTATAACTCATAACAAAACACACTACTTTCACACTATTAAAAATTGTGATCAACACTCGTAACCAAACTCTTTTTAAAATTCAATTAAAAAATATTATTAACAAAAAATAACATTAATCAAGTTTTTAATTGAAAATACTACAAACGACTTAATTTTTTTCAAAATAAATATTCAAAAAATTTAAATCGTAAAAATTTAAATAATTTAAATATTCAAAAAATTTAAATAATTGAAAATGTTAATAATTTAAATTTAAGAACAACTCTACAATCAAATCGTAACCAAACACATAAAACAAAACTCAATTAAGAAATTATTTTCAAAACTCATAACTAAACACATAACTCAAAACTCTATACTACTTTCACAACTCTACATTCAAATCATAACCAAATACATAACAAAAAAAATTAAAATATTTTAGAGTTTGAATTTATTTTTATAAAATATTTTAAAATTTAAAATATTAAAATCGTAATATTTTGAAATTAAAATATTTAAAAAATTAAAAAATTAAAAAAATCGTAACATATTTAAATATTAAAATATTTAAAATCTTAACAAAATTAAAATATTTTTAAACTATTTAAATATTTAAAATATTTAAAAAATCAAAATATTGATTTGAATTGAGTTTTGAAAAGAGTTTTAAATTATGTTTTTGGTTATGAGTTCTGAAAAGTAATGATTATGTTTTGAATTGAGTTTTAAGAAATTGATGTAAAATTATGATTTGAAAGTTCAAAAAAAACAACACACTCAAATCAATGGGTGGAACTATAATTTGAGAGGCTTACCAAACGGAGCCATAGGTTTCGTTTGGGAAGTGGGTTGGCTTTTTAGTTTTTTGACTTTTTTGACTATTTTAGCCTGAGGCTAAAAAATCTCGATTAGAAAATGGCTTTTGGCTTTTTTGACTTTTTTGTGAGAGAAAGAATGTAATGATTATGGGTTGAATGTGATGTTTTGTTTTTTGTGACTAAAAAGCATATTTTGTTTTTTGTTGCTATTTTAGCCCAAAAAACCCAAGGTTTGGCTTACCAAACGAAGCCTTAAATGCTAAAAAATCATTAAAAAAATAAAAAATTCAACAAATACTCAAAAGTTAAACAAATACCAAACGCTACCTATGATATTTGGGATGAATTTTTTTTTTTTTTATGGAAAGATGTAAAAGAAGTAAAGTTAACGAAAAAATAAATATGATATTTGGTAGAGTTTTCTAAATATGATTTGAGAATAGGAGTTATATTTTGAGTTTGTGAGTTTTGGAATTATAATTTAAGTGTGGAAAATTTATTTAGTGAAAAAGTTTTGAATTGAGTACAGAATTTTTGATGTGACATATGATATTCGATACAAAAACTTACAACTCATAAAAAAATTTAAAAATTCAGAAATTTTTTTTGTTGAATATATAAAAATTAATGTGTCAATTGCAACAAAAAAAAAATTACACTGTTCCGGTCAACCGGCAAGTCGACCGATGGGACGTCCGATAGGACGACCGGTTAATTTAAATTTTCTCGCCTTCGACCGAGTTTTCAAAATTTGGCGTCGAATTAATTTTTGAAAGCTACAAACAAACACCACGTGAAAACCAATGATTGGAACTAAAGTTCCAAAACTCAAACAAACAGAGCCATAGTTTTTTCATCATATTTTAGTTTTAAAAAAAAAAAGGTATGTTCTCAAACGACACCTAATTTAAGGGTCCAGATGATTAGGACCAGGGTACACAAGATACGCGCCCACAAGGGTCAGACTCAATCAAATGCATGTTTTCTAAAATAATGGCCCAACTAACTCCTAAATAAATGTGCCAATTTGGTGCGTGATCTCTAGATAAAAGGGGTTGATGTGAGAAGTGATAGGAGGCCTAACCATTAGGGATGGCAATCTAAACCCGACCCGACGAGGACCCAACCCCCCGACCCCGAATTGAGTGGTTATTCTCCGAAAAATACCCCCGACAGGCCGAGGATGGTATTCAAAATTTAATCCCCGATGATATCCGGGCCGGGGACGAGGATACATGTCCAAGCCCCGGACCCGACCCATTTAGCCTCGAGGTGAAATTACCATTATGTCCCTGGATATATATATGCGTGTGTTTGTTTAGGGTTTGACACACTCGACTCAGTCTCTCACACTCGCTCACACACACGGCGATGCTCTTCTCACTCTCTCCTCTCTCTCGCCGCTATGTTGTTTAGGGTTTGGTCTCCCCCTCTCTCTTTCTCTTACCGCCGCTCCTCCCTCACCGACGATCCTCCCTCATCACCAATCCTCCCTCACCGTCGCTGCTATTTAGGGTTTCGCCTTCCTCTCTCTCTCACACACACGACGGGACTGCTGCTCTCTCTACTCCCTCAACGCCGCTCCTCCCTCACCGCTCTCTCTGTTTAGGTATCTGTCTCTCTCTCTATCTCTCTATCTCTCTAGGGATTTCGATCCAGGGTTTACATATATATATATATATATCTGAGTGTATACATTTGCGATCTAGGGATTTCATTTTTGTTTCTTCAACCTCTGTTTTTTTTCCCTCTAAATTTATTATATATCTGAGTGTATACATTTGCGATCTAGGGATTTCATTTTTGTTTCTTCAACCTCTGTTTTTTTCCCTCTAAATTTATTTATTATATATATATATATGTCAAAAAGTGCGCATTTTATTATGAATTTGGAAACAGAAAAAGAAATGAAGCATATCTATTTACTTTCTCATATCTATTTATTATTCAAACTGTGTTTATTTTTTGATTTGCATATCTGTTTATTATTATTGATCTGCATATCTGTTGATAAAAATAATCTTTCATTTTATATGAACTGTGTTTATTTTTTTTATTAATTATTGATCTGTTTATTTTAAAGAATGTCACTCTGATTGTTGTATTATATGGGGTGATTGTTGTTCTGATTGGGAATTGGTGTTCTAATTGTTGTTTTAAAAACAATCTGATCTGTGTTTGGGAATTGATGTTCTGATTGTTGTTTTAAAAATAATATGATTTGTGTTTGGGAATTGGTGTTCTGATTGTTTTTTTAAAAATAATATGATCTGTGTTTGGGAATTGGTGTTCTGATTGTTGTTTTGAAAATAATATGATCTGTGTTTGGGAATTGGTGTTCTAATTGCTGTTTTAAAAATTATCTGATCTATGTTTAAAAATAATCTGATTTATTTTAAAGAATGTCACTCTGATTGTTGTATTATATGGTCTGATTGTTGTTATGATTGGGAATTGGTGTTCTGATTGTGTGCTGATTGTTGTTCTGATTGGAATTGTTGTTTTAACAGATTGTTGTCAATAAGTTATCCAACTTTTGAACCCCATGTGCATCTGTTCTTCATATTTCCAGCTTTATTCCGTTGAGAATGTGTTCTTATTAGAGTTCAAATTTTTTAACTGAACTTAGAAAGCTAGCTAATACATGTAGCTTCGACAGTTTTAGTTGTTTGAAACAGTTTAGTCTATTAATTGTTGTAAGAAGAGATTTACTGGTTGTCCTCCTTGCACTAAAAATATATTATTTTTCTTGAATATAAATACTTATTTACCTAGTAGTTTTGTTGCTAATGTGGGTGTTTACTATTAGGGATTTAAAAAAAAATAAGTAATCAATTATGGATAATCCTATTGGGGATGGTTTTGACATTATAGCTATCGAGGCTTGTGGGATTTTACCGTATCTTAAATATTTGTGAGGATGACGGGAGAAGAAAATAAACGATATATACTTATGGCACAAAAAGGACAGGATAGAAAATTATGTTCTAGAAAAACAACGGTTGCGTTTGGTAGAGTTTTCTAAATATGATTTGAGAGTAGAAGTTGTATTTTGAGTTTGTGAGTTTTGGAATTATGATTTGAGTGTAGAAAATTTGTTTGGTTATGGTTTTTGAATTGAGTGTTGAATTGAGTATTGAATTGTATATGGAATTGAGTTTTGAAAGTTTGATGTGACATGTGAAATAAGAAAATTTGTTTGATGATGAGTTTTCAAAATAGTTTTCAAAACTTAATTCAACCTATAATTGATAATCAAACACACAACTCACAACTCGATATCCGTGTTTTTGATCAATAGTCATAACCAAACTATTTTTAAAATACTCAAATAAAAAAATGATTTTTTTTTTCAATTAATTGTTTTTAAGTAATTTTTTTAAATATTTTTTTTTAAAATAAATTTTACGTCAATTATTTTATGTCAATTAATTTTTCTGTCAATTCATTTTTTAGGCATGTATAAACATTTTGTGCAATACGTTTTTAATATTTTTCAAAAATTTTGTTCAAACCAACACGTTTGGAGATTACATATTGATAAAAATTAACAAAAACAATTTATTAATTTTTTTAAATACAAACGAAAACATAAACGTTACCAAACATTATCAATATTTTTTCATTTATTAAAGTTTATTCATTTAATAAAAAATTCTTTATGTTGTACCTTTTTTTAGCTTCATTATTGTCCCTTACTCCTGCCTCACCCGTGAAGCTCATATTATTGGAGTCACCCGTGAAGCTCATATTATTGGGGGCTATGGCGTGATGTATTTGACTATAAAATGACTAATTTGCCCCTCTTTCATAGAATGTCAAATTGCTATGTAAGT